CCGACATTTGGCCCGGGTGTATGGCAGCCGGTCTGACAGAAGCGAGCCATTCTGTCTGCCGATCAGCTCCTGATCAGCGATCTCAGCCAATGGCTGAGAACGCTGACCAGAATGTTCTGGTGGCGGGCTGTCCGCCCTATTAAAATACAATAGCACAGAAGGGGAGATCGCTGTTCATTTAGCCTACTGGGTTGGACAAAAAAAAAAACTAGTAGTGTGTACTAGGCTTTAAAGTTGAGGAGAAACTGATCCCTTTTGTCTTCAGAGATAGGAATGCCGGGCCCATCATGCATTCATCCAGCAGTGATTAATCCATAATGAAGAGAAAGTCGCACTCCCAGCCAGGGGCGGACTGACCATTTGGAAACTCGGGCACTGCCCGAGGGCCCGGGGTCAGTTGGGGGCCCCATGAGATGCCCCTGGTACCTTTTTCATAGGCTTTTTTTAGTTTGGGCAGTGACACAGGGGCCCCATGATCCTCTATTGCCCAGGGGCCCCATGAGTTGTCAGTCCGCCCCTGCTCCCAGCCCAACTGAAGGATAAGTATGTGTGTGAAATGGCCTCAGACAGGCCAGGCAAAAACATGTGCGTTTTGTTTTCAAAATGTGGACTTAACCTTTAAGGATCTGTTGGTTCTAATAATAGAAATCCAATTATTTATTTATTCATCCATACATTTAGGAAAGAGACTCACCTGAATACGATTCCTGCTATGAAATATAAGATGGCCAAGATATCCATAATGTTCCACAGATCAGTAAAATACTTGATTCCACTCATGTACATCTATGCAGATAAACAAGCATTAGCATACACTATGTAAAATACATTTAAGACTAAAAAAGCATACATATACCTGATGTATAAAAAGTTGAGGAAGGGAGAGCGTTGCACCCATTAGCAACCAATCACATACTATGTAGAAACTGACATTTACCTATGTAAATTCCAGAAATTATATAGCTAAAGATTTAGTGATAGCATTTTTTAATTAGAATAAATCACTAAATATCAATATTCATATCCTTATGAAAATAGTAAATATTACAGGAAATTAAACTGGGCGTATTTTATACCAGAATCATCTAAACTCTTAAAAAGTTTATTTCTACCATTGGTTTTCTCCTGCATGTTGCTACATTTACCGAGGTAGAAAATCCATTGATTTTAGTACATTCTGTTTCCATTGATGCATTGCTTTGAAGAGCATTTAAAAAAGTCCTACATGCAGCATTTTGAGTGCACTGAGCTAAAGCTTAACACTCAAGTCATTTCAAATTTCACAAATACAAGGCAATGCATGTCAGCATGTGTTTTGGTGGAAATAAGTTTAGCTTACTGATGAAAAGGGTTGTTCATGATTTACTTCCAGTGTACTGTAGAGTCAAAAGCTCAGTAACCAGTCAACGATGCTTAAATCACCACAAATTCTGAAAGAGCTGTCAACAGGATTGAAATAGATGAATATATGCCAGCAGCACTTCTAACTTACAGTCCACCTAGGTATTGATGATTTCAGAGCTAGTCAAAGACTTCACACAGCATGCAACTCTTTCATAGAAGTTATGGAGCTAAAGGTTGTAAATCATGCAACAGTTCCCTTTATAAGTGTAAATCATTTTACATTTATCTTTAGCAAAACGTTTCTCTTTCTAATTTTGAATAAAGTGGGGGATGGTTGGAACTTGGCCATCTATGCCCCCACTTGGAAAATTCATTCCTGGTGAATATTTTACAATTATCCCGGAAACTCAGGGCAAATCCTCAAATAGGTACACCTGGTGATCGAAAACTGTGACAAGTGTATTCTTCTGATTTTGGAGTGATATCTTGTCCTTTTTGTTGTGTCACTCCAGAACAGGAAGTGAGGGGACAGCTCCCCAACTGGATACATGCAGAAAATAAGTAAATAAATAAGTAGTTTTAATCATTTCTTACTCTATACAAAACTAGAAAAAAAACTGCTAAAGATATTCTAACTTATTAGTTAACTAACAAGGGGGCCTCAATAGTGCCTCTGACATCCCCAAAGGGTGACACAAAATGTTCTGCATATCTAATACTAGGGAGGATGGTCTGAGACTGTGGACATACTACCATAAATGATGGTCAGAGACTATGGACATACTACAGAAATGTTTGGAAATTGGGGAAATGTTGCAAAAGATAGTGAGAGATTAGCGACATGTTACAGGAGGCTAGTAGAGACCACTGCTATTATATATCAATATCCCCACTTCCACTACAAACTGCTTGGGTTGAGGGTCGGCACAACAAGGGCTGCGGGTTGGGTAATGGGACTCTAATTCTTTCCTAGACAACTCTTTTATTCAAGTCGCATAACAATATGGCACAGGTTCTTTAACTGAACTCTTGATATATTTATCCCATGCTTTTTACTTGCCACATATTTTTGCTACCTAAGAAAGTCATGATAAAGTCAGAAAGAAAGAGCATTTAAGGTATATTCATATATTTATCCTGCGGTGTTTGTGCTGCTACTTTACGTATAACTAACAAGAACAGCTGTAACCATTGTTAGGCCTTTGGGTACTTCTCTGAGAGAAAACAATATTCTGGCCACAAAGGACCCTGTCCAGAACACCACATAACATAGTTTCAATGCTGAAAGAACTATCAACAACTAATACAGATCGTTGAGCACCAACAGCTCCCTCTCAAATATGAAACAGCCTAAAAAAATAATGTGGTCATATGAGGGCCAGATGATCATTTGATGATTTGCTTGTAACTAAATCTGCTACAAATCAGCCACTCACAACTAGAAAGGACAAGTGTTGGACCACACAACTTGGGTCTTGAATCTTCAATGAGTGGTGTTTTGCTAACTCACATGGCTACTTTGTAAAACAGTGCTCAGTAATGTATGGTACAATGTATATAAAAAATACAAATCACTATTAAATAGTGTTGTAACACTATTAAATGTGTTAAGAAACCATGTTTCTGTGTCTAAATCAGCATTTCTCAACCAGGGTGCCACTGCAAAATGGCCAAAAAATTCCCCAATCCATCCAAAATACATTGTTCTCACCACCAGTTATCGTATTTTCTTTTCAGTGGTGTCAGTCCACTAGGTTAAATGCGCATGCAGATGTCACAGGAACTCAGGAAGCCTCACGGGCAACCCGCCTGCGTCCTGTCAACTGATGCCATCATCGGTTGCTAGGGGCCATCCCACGTGACTTTCTGGGCGGCATGCGTGGCTAGTGGTCTGCCCTATGCGATGGTAGAAGGCACTCTTCTGTCAACAGCTGGGGCAGCACACACCACCAAACTGTGTTACACGTCGGCGGCACAGCAGGAGCTCGCAGGACTGGGTAAGGAGGCAAGAAGCAGCAGAGGTATATGCAAATTCTTCAGCTGATGCAAAGCCTACAGCCAGCCATATGCCTTTGAAGTTCACTAGCCTTGCCACACTTCTTACTCAGCCAGCCTTGTGGTTTATAGTGGAATAATGGTCTTGCCCTGTAGTTCTGGTGAGAGGAAAGCAGGGAGCGGAGAGGATCAAAAGGGAGGGTGGGGATTTGCTTGCAAAGGGAGTGAGGTACAAAGGTGAGCAGTGAGGGGGTTTGGGGCATAGAGGTTAGCAAAGAGGGGTTTGGGGGTACAGAGGTGAACAGAGAGGGGCGTTCGGGGTACAGAGGTGAGCAGACAGGGGGTTTGTGGTACAAAGGTCAGCATAGAAGGGGTTTTTGGGTACAGATTTGAGTGGGGAGGTTAAGGAAACAGAGGTGAGCAGAGAGAGGGGTTTAGGGTACAGAGTTGAGTAGAGAGAGGACGTTTGGTACAAAGGTGAGCAGAGAGTGAGGTTTGGGTTGCAGAGGTGAGCAAAGAGTGGGGTGTTTGGGTTACAGAGGTGAGCAGAGAGCGGGGGGTTAGGTGTACATAGGTAAGCAGAAAGGGGGTTAGGGGTTTTGTGGTAGAAAGGTGTGTGCGGGATATTAGGGGTTTAGAGGTAAGCAGAGAGGGGGGTTTGGGATTTTTTGGTACAGAAGTGAGTGGGGTATTAGGGGTTCAGAAGTGTGCAGAGAGGGGGTTTTGGGGTACAGAGGTGAGCAGAGAGCAGGGATTTGTGGTATAGAGGTGAGTGGGGCATTAGGGGTTCAGCAGTGAGCAGAGAGTGGGGGTTTGGGCTAGAGATGAGCAGGGAGCAGGGAGTTTGGGGTACAGAGGTGAGCAGAGGTGAGTTATGGTATAGAGTTGAACAGAGAGGGGGTTTTGGGATACAGAGGGTGTGGGGTGCAGAGGTGAGCAGAGAGGGTGGTTTGGGATGTGGAGGTGAGCAAAGAGGGGGTTTGGGATGTGGAGATGAGCAGAGAGGGGTTTTGGAGTGTGGAGGTGAGCACCCCAAAATGGAGGTACATCTGTGCTGCTGCATGCAGGCCAGTCCAGTCATTTCAGTGGTCTTCCCTACCTGCAGAAACACAGAGCAAGAAGTCCCCAATCATTTTTTTAAAAAATTGTGCTGCCCGACAATACACTGCATTTGCCATTGTGTGGGGGTACCGTTAAGAATTAAGGACAGCCCCTGTGTATCTGCTAAGGAGCAGCATGTTTGTCTGTGTGTCGGGAACACGTACGATTTTTATAAGCAGTAATTTGAACCAAGCCTTAAACTGGGGTGCCTCAAGGCTGAAAATACTTTTCAAGGGCGCCCTGATTGTAAAAAGGTTGAGAAACACTGGTCTTAATCATGAAAGATGCTGCACTGCTTAACACAACTACCTGTATTGCCATTCACCAATCATATTCTCTTTATACCAGTTGCAACATTAGAGTATTACAATGTATTCTAATCGGTGGCTATGGTTAACATAGCAAGGTTTTATTTAAGATTTTTTTTTTATTGAAGACCATTGAGTGAATAAATTAATTATGTATCATTGGTTTTGGTGTCATACCTGTTGGCATCATACCTGCCTGATCTCATCACATAGTAAGATAAAAACCAGTATATAGACAGCAATCTCAAGTCCTGTAGGGTATATCTGAAAATCCATAAGAAGGACATAAGCAAAAAGAAGTAGGAATCCAATGTAGAAAATGACTGTCCAGGAGAAGACAACAAAAGGTGAGGTGAAGAAAGCCAAGTAATTCAAAAAGATGGGTCTTTTTGGATCTGTTGTTTTTTTCCTGCAAGAACCAAAAAATGAAAAGATAAATATACCATACTATTGTTTCCCTGTAGACTGTATTAGGGTTAGTGATCAGGCAGACATTTTATTGCAGAAGAGGTATACTATGGGTTGATTTACTAAAACTAAATAGGCTCTTCACTTTGCAAGGGAATTTTTCCTTAGCTGAGTGAGTGTGGTGAAAATTCATTTGGAAAGAATACCCAGTTATATGCAAGGAAAATAAAAAATAGTATCTTTGCTTGCACATGATTGGATGCTAGAAGTCAGCACAGCTGACCTTGCAAAGTGAACAGCCTATTTACCTACAGCAAGTCAACCCCTATGTCTCTTCAGCATACGCAATTTAGGTGTCCGTTTATGAACCAACAGCAATAGATCGCTGCTCAGTTCTCCGGCATTCTCGGAGAACACAGTTCTCCTGTGAATGCCGTTTATGAAGCATATGTAGATCAGTTCTCCAAACGAAGGGAGAACGGTCTACAAACTCTGGAAATCGGCTGGTTTTACTATAATCTCTCGAGATTATAGTAAAAGATCAGTTTACTAAACAGAGGTAAATTATCTCTGCTTAGTTTGCGGTCCCTCCGATTCTCCAGCTCTGGGCTGGAGAATCTGGAGGGAGAACAAAGATCTCCAGTGAAGGGCTGAACATGTTCTCCTGAGTGTCATAAACTGTGAATGACCAGAGAATAGCTGCGATCCTCTGAATCACAGCTATTCTCTGTGTCATAAAAGGACACCTTAGTGTACAATCACGGCATCTGCACGAATGAACTCCTATGCAAGCATGGGAGTTATGCCTTCCCAAAGTGACCAATCTAGATGGCCAAAAATCCTGAATCAGGGACAAGTCAAGGTGAAGGTACTGGCACCAGCAAGTGAACTCATGGACACTGCACTGATAGAGTGGAATTGAGTATAGTATTGCTTTAAACCACAATAAAAGTCAATGTGAATGTATGTTAAATGCAAGTACTGTAGATGCATGACAATTGCAACATATGGTGAACACAAGACAAACACATTTCAAATACCTGTGTAGACTAGCCCTTAGCTACCCTTTTTTCTATGTGTAAAGTACATCTGAAGCAGTTCAACTTGAATCCCAACAACAGCAAACATGTTTTCCTAGTTTGGGATAGAGTGGGGAAGATTTAGGTTTTATTGACATCAGTGTCTCCCTTGGGGTGATTTCCTCTCACGTCCTACTTGATGGGAGTCAGTCAGGATTGAAAGCAAAGGGGAAATCTCCTCAACAGGGACACAATACTCAATTACTCAATATGAATGTAAGAAATGATTTAAAACCTACCAATTGTTCTACTTCTTCCCCAATTTGGTTTGAAGCTAGAGAAAAGTGTTTATTTTTGATTCATTTTAAAGATAATTACCTGAATGATATAAAGCCGCAGGCGATAAGAGGAAACAGGAACAGAGACATAATAACCTTCCAGTTTTTGGTATCTCTGGAAATATCCCCATACCATTGCTTAGAAAGGAAGTTCTGTGGTAGAATTAAAAAGAGAAGATTATCTGCAAGGAGAAGCCAGATGTAATTTGGGAGATGGTTTAGGTTAAAAGGGAATTGGAGGATGGAAACTGTTAGGCATGTTAATACATAGACTGTAAACCAATACAAAGGTAATGCTATGAGAAAAATAGAAGGATTCTTAAGAAACAGGAAGCATACAATAAATCAGGAAAAGGACAAATATGATATGAAGTACAGACTTAGGTATATAGTGATTAGATAAAAGAATTAATAAGTCAAAAACTAATAAGCTGGTGCTTGGTGGAACAAAATGCTTAAAAAGACCAGATAAAAAGTTACTAAAACTTGGATTTATTCGTAATAGCAACTTCATGGAAGAGGTAACATCAGTCAGTAAACAGCTAATGGTATCTGGGGAAGATTACAGCAATTCTGAACCTAAATAATTTTACTTTTTATAGATTCAGCTGCAGACAGAAGCGTCATTTTCACTGTACTTCTAGGTAGGACTGTTAGTCTCTCTTATTCTCTTTCTGTTCAACATCATCACGTGGAAGGTGATGGAACGTAGGGAACACAAGTAGAGTGAAGTTGAAAGTTTTCATAACCCTAATTTTCTGCAGAAATTGGGAGATTTCAGTGATATTTTGCTATCTTGGCCAAATCTATTTTCTCTCACAAAGATTTTATTACATTTTCAAAAACAGAGGTGCAGGTGGTGTAGTACTCAAGATATGCAATGCATAAACTGCAAGTTTACATTAGTGTTATACACCCTGTTCCAAATTATTATGCAAATGATATTTTTCTCATTTACCTAAATAACTGATGTAAAGAACAGTCAGCATAATTCTCATGTTATCAACTATTAAGAGTACAATTCAAATTTTATTGAACAAACCTCCTAATGATAACAGTATTTTTTTAAACATAAAAAACTTACAATGCACTGTTCCAAATTATTACGCACAGTAAGTTTCAAAACACTTTATAGGTTGTAAAGAACTGAAAATTGTCATTTGTTGTGTTTGCAGCATATTTACTGAAATCAAAAGCTATGTCAATCAAACTTTTAACAACATTTTAACTTTTTAAACATTTTAACAGGTCACGTTACATTTTAACATAGGACCCCTTATTTGATAGCAGTTTCACAAGTCTCTTGCATCCATTGAACTTGTGAGTTTTTGGACAGTTTCTGCTTGAATTTGTTTGCAAGATGTCAGAATAGCCTCCCAGAGCTGCTGTTTGGATGTAAACTGCCTCCCACCCTCATAGATCTTTTGCTTGAGGATGCTCCAAAGGTTCTCAATAGGATTGAGGTCAGGGGAGGATGGAGACCACCCCATGACTTTCTCTCCTTTTATCCCCATAGCAGCCATTGATGCAGAGGTATTCTTTGCAGCATGAGATGGTGCATTGTCATGCATGAAGATGATTTTATTACGGAAAGCATAGTTCTTCCTTCTGTACCAGGGAAGAAAGTGGTCAGTCATAAACTCCACATACTTTGCAGAGGTCATCTTTACACCTTCAGGGACCCTAAAGGGGGCCGACCAGCTCTGTTCCCATGATTTCGGCCCAAAACATGACTCCACCACTGCCTTGCTGATGTCGCAGCCTTGTTGGACTAGGGCGGCCGTCCACCAACCATCCACTACTCCATCCATCTGGACCATCCAGGGTTGCACAGCACTCATCAGTGAACAGGACTGTTTGAAAATTAGTCGTCATGTATTTTTCTGCCCAATGCACTGACGGTTTTTTCTCCTACTCATCTTTTCTGACTGTTTTGCTGTTTCACTACTTTTGCATTTGGCTAGGGTCAGTGTCCCTACTGGTAACAGGAGATGATACCTGGACCCTACAGAGGTTGAACAGGCAGTCCAACTCCTCCAGGATGGCACATCGATAGGTGCCATTGCCAGAAGGTTTGCTGCATCTCCCAGCACAGTCTCAAAAGCATGGAGGAGATTCCAGGAGACAAGCAGTTGCTCTAGGAGAGCTGGACAAGACCGTAAAAGGTCCTTAACCAACTAGCAATACCAGCATCTGCTCCTTTATGCAAGGAGGAACAGGATGAGCACTGCCAGAGCCCTACAAAATGACCTCCAGCAGGCCACTGGTGTGAATGTCTCTGACCAATGACATCTTCTGAGCCCGGTGCACACTGCCAGGCACCACCTGTGCTTTTCACAGATGAGCGCAGGCTCACCCTTAGCACACGTGACAGAGGTGAAAGGGTCTGGAGAATCCATGGAGAACATAACATCAATTAGCATGACCGTTTTGGTGGTAAGTTAGTGATGGTGTGAGAAAACATATCCATGGAGGGATGCACAGACCTCTACAGGCTAGACAATCGCACCCTGACTGCCATTAGGTATCGGAATGAAATCCTTGGACCCATTTTCAGACCCTATGCTGGGGCAGTAGGTCCTGGGTTTCTTCTGGTGTACGACAATGCCCAGTCTGATGTGGTGAGAGTATGCAGGCAGTTCCTCGAGCATGATGGAATTGTTACCAATGAATGGCCCCCACACTCACCTGACCTAAGTCTAATAGAACACCTCTGGGATATCATGTTTCGGTCCATTTGACACCGCCAGGTTGCACCTCAGACTGTTCAGGATCTCAGTGATGCCCTGGTCAAGATCTAGAAAGAAATACTCAAGGACACCATCCGTCGTCTCTTTAGGAGCATGCCCCGACATTGTCAGGTATGCATACAAGCACTTGAGGGCCATACAAACTATTGAGTACCATTTTGAGTTGCTGAAATGAAATGGACTAGCGTGCTGCATAATTTTTTCACTTTGATTTTCGGGGTGTCACTTTGAATTCAGTCCTCTGTAAGTTGATCATTTTCATTTCCATCAAACGATGGGGCATCCTTACCTTCCTAACACATTACCCAGTCCATATCGGTATAGATATCTAGCATGATATTTTTCCCCATTGATATCTGATGTGTTTTCAATGTGTTCCTTTATTTTTTTTGAGCAATGTACATAGAGAATCATGAGACAGTAAATTAAATAGAAAGAGATATTGAAAAAAAAAAAAACAGGGAGAAAGAGGAGAGTACAAAAGGGATGGGAAGGGATAATGTTTTACTAAGGAAAGAGGTAGTGTGGGCGCAATTAGGTGTGTCCATTTAATGAGGGCAAAGGAAGAGTATAGAGTGGTCAAGGTCAAGATTTCTATTGTATTCCAATGAAGGAACATTTTGTTTCAAAAATGTTAAATGGGTGTCAGTTAGAATACAAGTGTGTTTTTCATGAACCATGATCCTCTGCTTTACCTCCATAAAGGCCAAATGTGTTTCCAATGGGAAAGACAAAACAAAAGTATTTTTCAAGAGTGTAAAGGGCCTTTACATGGCATACCTCAAATTGTTCATTGCCAAAATACAAACTCCCACTAGCCTCATTATTTTACATTTTTTACACAAGAAAAAAATCACTGTGAAAAAGGTACAATGAAAAAAATAAAACAAATGAAAAAAAGCAATAGTACACAAATAATGACCAAATAAAACAGGCGAAGAAACATAACTACGTAAAACAAATGAAACTATGCTAAAAGACCCCCAACACAAAAAACCACACCCTCTGAATAAAGGCCTGTGTTGACAGGTAAATTATATTTCAAGAACATTTTCAAGCAGCTCAGTGAGCAAAAATTAAGAAGTTTACACTTGACAAAATGTTGCCAATGATTAAATCAGGAGCCTATTTATGTTTAGGCCTTTTCAGAAATTAAGGATTTTGGCAGCCATAGGAACTCAGAGAGCTAGGCAGTTTTCTACACGTGATAAATTACAGGATGAAGACTTGTTTAATTTTTATAAATATATATATATCATACACTTGCTTCTTACCTGCACTCCTGGCTGTGCTATAAACTGCTGGTCTTTTGCCTCTACAGCCATCTCAAGGCAACTACAGTCTCCCCAGGCCTCACAGGAATACACAAGCAGCATCTCTGCCAAATCCTCATCATTGCTGTAGCACTCTGAGAATAGCTCTAGACCATTAACAAGATTATGGATATGTATAAAATGCTTCACACAAATGGCTTTATTTATTAACCAAGCACAGTAATAAGATATGTAGCTAGTCAACACAAAGTATTCAGGTATATTTAATAAAACAAAGAACAATGTTCACAATACAATGACCCTTGGTAACAGTGTGATCATTATTCATTGCTCTAACTAAACCAATTAAACACAACATCTGAGATGCTGCTACAGGTTACTGCACATTGCATGTTACAGATGTGCTTTGAAGTGCCTTATAAATACGTCTGGTTGTGTTTTACTTAAATTGTTTTATGTAACACATAGTTACATAGTTAGCCTGGCTGAAAAAAGACAAAAGCCCATCCAGTTCAACCAAAAAAAAAAAAACAAAAAAAACCTTACAGTCCTACAATCCTATACCTACCATTGATCCAGAGGAAGGCAAAAAAAAACAGCAAAGCATGATCCAATTTGTTCCTGCAGGGGATCCTTCTTGTCCCCCGAGAGGCAATTGGATATTCCCTGGATAAACTTTACCTGTAAATATTAGTTTCCAGTTATATTGTGTGTATCTAGGAAAGAATCCAGGCCTTTTTTAAAGCAATCCACTGAGCTGGCCAGAACCAACTCTTGAGGGAGTCTATTCCACATTTTCACAGCTATTACTGTGAAGAAACCTTTCCGTATTTGGAGATTAAATTTCCTTTCCTACAGATGTAAAGAGTGCCCCCTTGTCCTCTGTGATGACCTAAAGGTAAATAACTCTACACCGAATTCACTATATGAACCACTGATGTATTATACATGTTGATCATATCCCCCTTAATCTCCTCTTCTCAAGAGAATATTAATTCAGTTCCTCTAATCTTTCCTCATAGCTGAGCTCCTCCATGCCTCTTATCAGTTTGGTTGCCCTTCTCTGTACTTTCTCAGAAGTTCCCCAATGTTCTTTTTTTGAATTGGTGCCCAATACTGAACTGCATATTCCAGATGAGGTGTTACTAATGATTTGTACCGGGGTAGAATGATATCTCACTCTCTGGAGTCTATACCGCTTTTAATACAAGAGAGGATTTTGCTCACTTTACAAACCGCAGCTTGGCATTGCATGCCATTATTAAGCTTGTGATCTACCAGAACTCCCAGATCCTTCTCCACACAATCAGATAGGACATGTGTTGACAACATGTTAATAAATAAGGTGTTTAATCTTATTATTATTTAACACTTGCCATATGTATCACTCACTTCATTGTATTTTTCATACTTGCAAACTTCTGTTTATTATTAGCCTCCACTACACATGAGTGGACATATACAGACCATGTTAGAGAGGTGGAAAGTAGAGACCACAAAGAAATGGCAATGGAGCATGATGTTTGAGGATGACAAAATTATGGTATAGCTGTATTTGCTAAATAAATAAATCTGTTAGCTATAAAACTGGCTTTGTGACTTTTAGAATTAGTCTACTAAACACGATGCCTGCAGCCCCGTCTTCTAATGCACTTTCCTCTTCTTCATATTTCTGTGGTCTGTTCAGTGTATCTATGTCCAAATAGGGATTAAAGTGGCCCTGTCATTTAAAAATAAATTATTAATTAATAAACAGGCTTACCTGCAAAGGAAAAAAAGGGACTGCGTTGGTTGCGAAAACATCACTCTATTCAAGAGAAATCCTCTGCTGAGGTCCTCTGGGATAACCAACACTTCCAGGAGTATTGATTGGTACCCAGCAGTACCTAGAGGTTCCAACCTCATGTCATTACAGGACACAATAATGATGTGAAGCTCAGTGGAAAGAACCAGTGAGTTCTGTGAGGGACCAACTAGATCAACACTCCCAAAAGCATCGGTTTACCAGATCAGTGTATGATTTCTCTTGAATGACCTGGCTTCCTGCTGTGTGGACAGTGAGAAAGGAAGGTTTTCAGTTAATCTTTTTCCTATTGTAGATACACTATATTGCCAAAAGTATTGGGACACCCAAATCATTAAATTCAGGTGTTCCAATCACCTCCATAGCCACAGGTGTATAAAATCAAGCACCTAGGCATGCAGACTGCTTCTACAAACATTTGTGAAAGAATGAGTCACTCTCAGGAGCTCAGTGAATGCAAGCTTGGTACCGTGATACGTTGCCACATGTGCATTAAGTCCATCCATAAATTTCCTGGCTACTAAATATTCCAGTCAACTGTTACTGGTATTATAACAGAGTCGATGCAACTGGAAAAAAACAGCAACAATGAAGTAGTAGGCCATGTAAAATGACAGAGCGGGGTCAGCACATGCTAAAGCACACACAGTGTGTAGAAGTCGCCAACTGTCTGCAGAGTCAATAGCTAAAGACCTCCAAACTTTGAATGGCCTTCAGATTAGCACAATAACAGTGTGTAGAGAGCTTCATGGAATGCGTTTCCATGGCCGAGCAGCTGTATCCAAGCCTTACATCATCAAGTACAATGCAATGGTGTAAAGCACGCTGCCACTGGACTCTAAAACAGTGGATACGTGTTCTCTGGAGTGACGAATCATGCTTCTCTGGCAATCCAATGGACATGTCTGGATTTGGCAGTTGCCAGGAGAACAGTACTTGCCTGACTGCAATGTGCCAAGTGTAAAGTTTGGTGGAGGGGGGATTATAGTGTGGGGTTGTTTTTCAGGAGTTGGGCTTAGCCCCTTAGTTCCAGCGAAGGGAACTCTTAAGGTATCAGCATACCAAAACATTTTGGACAATTCCATGCTCCTAACTTTGTGGGAACAGTTTGGAGATGGCCCCTTCTTGTTTCAAAATGACTGCACACCAGTGCACAAAGCAAAGTCCATAAAGACATGGATGAGTGATTATTGGGTAGAGAAATGACTGGCCTGCACAGAATCCTCACCTCAACTCAAAAGAACACCTCTGGGATGAATTAGAGCAGAGACTACGAGCCAGGCCTTCTCATCCAACATCAGTGCCTGACCTCACAAATGCGCTTCTGGAAGAATGGTCAAACATTCCCATAGACACCCTCCTAAACCTTGTGGACAGTCTTACCAGAAGAGTTGAAGCTATTATAGCTGCAAAGGGTGGGCCAACTCAATATTGAAACCTACGGACTAAGACTGGGATGCCATTAAAGTTCATGTGCGTGTAAAGGCAGGCGTCCCAATACTTTTGGCAACGTAGTGTACTCTATGTCTGATTTGTAATTTTTTAAAGGACAGGGGTGCATTAAAGTTGTCTACAATTACACTATTTATGAAAAGCTACACATTTGTTAACATTTCATGCATGTGCAGAAATGACAAAAACTTCCCCCACTGTTGTGCTTATTGCCTCTGTATAGGACCATCTCAATTTGTCCAGGGCATACGTTTTGTATTAATATTACAATACCAAATTATCTATTCATAATGGGCATGCATTTCCCAGTTCACAGAAAGAGGTACTTTTTAAGTCGAAATATTGTGATTTGGCAGTGCTGACATCCGATTTATTTATATGAACTATAAAAGTTATTGATAGGTCCACTGCATCAAATTCCTGAATTTATTTTCATTATAACTTTACAAGTCTATATATGAACTATATTAAAAATAGCAATCAATCTAGGTATAAGAAATGTTATTACTAAAATATAAGCAGCTGATTCTTCTGACATGTTCAGTCTATAAAGTCCCTTTATTCATAACAACTGGCATAAAATATTAATCTGAATCCATTACACATAAACACTTATCTGGCGAGGGAGCAATTTTACGAACTCTGTATAGACAGAGCTAAAGTGATCCTTGGGGCCTCAGGTATAATAGCCATGATTAAATGCAAGCTTCTATGTGGTTATACATACAAGATAAGTTTTATTTACTTAGAGAATACATTTCTAAATGATTATTGACAGAACCAGATCAATGGTAAGGCCAAAGCCTAAAGCAGTCATACAAACTGAGGTCTTTAGGTGTAAAACAAAAAGTCCTTTTACCAGTATGTTTTCAGTGAAGAAACCAGATAAAACCCAGGCAAACCTTGAAAAAAAATACACTACACAGGGGAATTCATAAAGAGTGTCTAAGACACCCTTTAGAATTTTGATGTACTGTCACACAACAAATGTCAGTGTGGGCAACAGATTCATGGGTGGAAGTACACTAAGACCAGTGTGTCCACATGGACAATCTGCCCTCCATCCATCCGTGCTTCATCCCCACCGCTGCACCTCACAGGCAGTACAGCGGCAGGGAGTTTTGTACCGGTGAGGATTCATCTGATGGGGCTTCACAGACACTAGTTGCCCATCAGGTCACTTCCTTTGATATTGACAGCACACAATGGGCGGACCCAATAGACAGTTGGTTATGGGCTATACAATCCGCCTACTGTCTGCTGTCAATGACAAGGTGAGAGAGGACCTGGTGAGGAACCAGGGCCTCAGCTTTCCCATCAGGCTCTGTCCACTACAGTGTCCTTGGTTGATAGACACTGCTGGCTGTGAAACTCACAGCATCCTTAACAATCAGAGACAGGGAGAGGGTAGCGGTGGTAAATATGTCACTCTGATCTACTGTGTACAGGGACAGGAAATCTGTCTGTCTCTATACACCAACTTAGATTAGGTCTTAATTATTTCTAGCTTCAACATCTATGAACTGGAGGCAATTCATTTTTAATTTGGTGCATTAATAGCACCACTTTGTAAAAGGAAACTACCTGAATCTGCCACTTCTGTAACGCTACCGAAACGGGTGGTAGGGAATATCTGAATCTGGTGCAGGACATTTTAAAGGACCGTAGCACTAGAAAACTGTTGGTAATGCTTTGGAATGGGCTAACCACTGTGTCATTGTTCTGCACAGCCTCTTACCTATCTTGTTGGTCAGTAATGCACATAGCACATTGAAAAAATCAAATTAGGTCAATCTCATTTGGATTTTAAAGAAAACCTTAATTTTCTGAAACAGAGAAGATCAGAGAAGAGAAGTGGATTGCATCCTATATTCCTTATGCAAGTGGTTTCAGTTCTGGTGCAACTTTCAGCTTCTATACCTCTCTGGAAGTTGGAGAACACCCCAAAGACTTGTATGGGACAACCCCAAATACTGAGACTTGTAGTCAATGGTTTAAGAGATACCAACCACACAATAAACTATCATTTAACCAACCTATCATCTTCTCCTGATTGACTATGAGTTTGGTATTGTAAAGGTCTTTATAAATTTTGATGAGGTTGTGATCAATGTTTAATTTTTACAAAGCTATCAGTCTGATCATCAATAAATACACAATAACTCAAAGCCCTCTGTGCTCCTTGCATGCTTGTTAAATGCATTCTTGTTAACCTTTGGCATAGTCCAATTATCACTAGCACCACTGGCAACTGTCAGGTCACAACTGCCCGCTTTAACTTATCAGAAATGACAGCTTAAATTGCCTCTTACCTACTGCTTTGGTTTCATATTCATTTGCAATCTCCTCTGACTCCCCTGCAGCACTGATGTCATTCTTTACTTTAGCCAGACTCTTAAGCAGTTTGCTGGCGCCCAGAGCAGCCAAGGTGCATCCTCTTGTCTTGGGAAAAATAACCGGTAACACATTTTAGATATTTAAAGATAATTTAAACTAAACAGTGTTAGCAGATGAATAATGATATAAAGCTTTTCATGTGATGTAAGGAACACAATTATAGGACTATAAAATGATAAAATTGTACAGTACAATATACAGTAATCTTTGATTAGCCTGAAGAGCTGATTTATGAACATTTACAAGAACATTTGTGCTGATACATTCCCTAGAGGTGTGCTTACTCATTTGCAATTGGTGCAAATGGTAGAAAAATCCATTATTGGATGAGTAAATGGCTACTATAAAGGATCAGCAGACCGCATATTTTCAGGACCATTCATGGGTCAAGTGTGGTTCCCTAAGCTCTTTTTGATGCAATTTCTAAGATCCCACAGGACCACACAAAATTTAGTATCATTTTTCTTATTATCACATTTTATGTGTCCCAAGATTGTTTCTTCTGTAATAGAAGACTGCAAAAAAAAAAAAAAATAAAGCACTAGGAGTTTTAATTTTTTTTAAAAAAAAATACATATCTAAACCAGACCATAATTACAGCTCCAGCTATATCCCTTAATTACAATACTATTTTTTTAAGTTTTGGAAAGAGCAAATAGGGGTTAGAAACTCTGCCACCTTTTTGGCTGTGATTTGCTTTTTAAAAGATACCTTCTTACTTTCTCTCTGTTTGATAGGTGTTAGACATGACAGGAATTGAAGGAATATTAACAGACTTCGGGGGTGATTTATTAAAACTGGACAGTCCAAAATCTGGTGTAGCTAGGCATTGCAGCCAATCAGCTTCTAACTTCAGCTTGTTGAATTCAGCTTTGACAATAAAACCTGGAAGCTGATTGGCTTCTTTGCAGAGCTGCACCATATTTTGCACACTCTGATTTTAGTAAATCGAGTGCTTCATATCTATTTGGCAGATGCCAGACAGATCAGGAAAAAGGAAATGCCCCCTAGGGTGCAAAGCCAGAAAAAAATATAACATTTTCAAAAGTTATGAAGGTTATCTGGAGTTATGAAGGTATTCCAGTTAGGAACAAGGATGCACTGTGCATGTTTGTGGAAAGGTGCAGCATGGTGCGTCCACAGTAAATACACAAGGTCTGGTTGCAAAAAACGTGGAACTTGTATTGAAGAGAATGCCAAACTACAAGCACCCTAAGCGGGAGAACACTGCTAGGGTAACAGAGTTCAGTTCAAATGCAAAGATACAGCGGGTGGAGATACACCAATGGCATCTGTTCAGAGGGTGGAGTGCGGCTTGGCTGGTCCAGTCCCAAAGGAGAGGCTTCCTTACAGTATGGCAAATCCCTAACCTGTCCCTTCTTGTCTGGATTCTTTCCCTGACTTTTCCTGATTGGTGGGATATCTCTCCTTACTCTAACTACTTCACAAGTGCACGTAAAAATCTGGGAGCAGGGACTTATAAAGGCTCTGCAGACCCCAGATGGCCGCTAGGGGTCACCTGGATGCAGCATAGCCAACCGGAACACTGCTTCCAAGACCCAAGAAACCATAGAGAAACCTTGTTTCCTTTGACGTCATTGTCACCTACAATGGGGAAAACACACTGTACATTTTATTTATTATATAAAACCTAAGAGTTGTATTCATTTAAGGTATACATTTAGGAAACAGCTAAAGCATAATTAAAGTACATATATGTTCCTGCCAAAGGAAGACAACTCAAAGATGTGGCCTTTACCCAACATCAATAATATTGCAGTATCTATGTACACATTGTCTACGTTTTCTTAGCCAGGTTAAGATAAGTCAAAAAAGAAAATGTTCTAAGTAAAATAGATAATGCAGGCAGAGAGTGTTGGTTTGGGTGTTGCTTTAGGGTTGTGTGCCTCCAGGCTCTATGGATGGAGCTTTCACCTGATTCGACCAATAAGTTATATGTTAGTGTCACATTAACAAATCTTAATAGAGAAAAACAAACAGAGGACGCACCGGCCTTGTGAATTACCTTAAAAGTATGTTTATTAAATGTTAAAAAAATATATTCTACTCACAATAGTCAATAAATATAAGGCACATCATGAAGGAACCACTCTGTCCAATTCGCACTGCGTTTCTGTCTTATGATGAGAATTATGGACATCCAAAAGTCTGACGCGTTTTGAGACTAGCCTCTTCCTCAGAGCCAACAACCTAGATGTGCGAATTGGACAGAGCGGCTCCTTCATGATGTGTCTTATATTTATTGACTATTGTGAGTAGAATATATATTTTTAATATTTGATAAACATACTTTTAAGGTAATGCACAATGCTGGTGCACCCTCTGTTTGTTTTTCTCTATTCAGTACTTTTGGACTCCCCGGTTCTTTGAGGGCAGCTAGTCATGCATATCCCAAGAATTTTGTTATGTGGTCCCAATGATATAAAGTCCATCCCCAAGCGCAGAGGAGTATCTGGGTTTTTCCACTTCTACATTAACAAATCTTAGTTGTGGTAGTGACAGACCATGTGTGGGATTCACATAGCAATGCTCAAACCTGAAAGTTCTGAATGTAGGTATGATTATGGTGCCCCATATGCAGAACTCACTCTGATATTTTTCAGAAATCTTTTATATATATTAAATACAGATGGCATTAAAATAAAAGTTTTACAAATGTAACTGATACTGGAGTCTACTATGATTGTTCCATTGCAAATACAGATTCATTTTCTTCATACACAGTGGGGGCTTTCATAAATTATATGTGCTTCCCCAATGAACTGTCTGTGATTTTCCAAAATACCTACCCAGTCTCCCTGTATTACAATATATCTGGACCAAAGGGGAGGTAGAAGAAAGGACAAGGACTTTTCCCGTACGTGACACTTGACTTGGTTGTTTTCTCCTTTAATGCATAAGGAAAAGGGCAACTTTAGGCAAAGAAAGTGTCAAACAGGCAAATGGACTTCTTGGCAAAAGGGCAACTCCACTCTGGGATGCAGTAACCAATGGCAATGGTGGTAGAAGTTCCTCTAGGAGGGTAAGCCAATGGTTAAGGGAGCACTAATGTGATCTGTCCTGCAGAAGGCGTGCACTGATGATTTGACTGTGCTGCAAATTTGCTCAATAGTAGCGGCTATGGGAACTAGGCCGCAACACATATTAACTGAATATAATGTCCACAACTGTGTGCAGGTACAGTAGCAAGTTCTATAGCCTCATGTGCAGCGTTTTGTCCAGTCACTGTGTCCGAGTCACCTGCTGGCAGACCGTCTTGCTGAACAAGATGGCAAGGTCAGCAGTCAGCGGCTCCTCCTCTCTCCAACTCTGCGGCCTGGTCCGGTTCTCTGGCAGTCGACACCACTCTCTCTCTTTATTTCCTCCAGCTCTCTCCCCTCTCACTTCCTGCCCTGTCTCCAGAGCTTCTGTATATATCTTCATCCACCCACTTGCCAGCACTTTTGGGAAAAGTAGTCCTCTTTATACACTGCTCCCCAGCAAAGCCCTGCAATTCAGCATACAAGGTCCATGGGGCTGCTCTGCAGAATGTGAGTGTCACTGAATTTGCAGAACACTGTTTTTGGTTTGTTATATAACATTGTATGCATTTTTACATTGTTGAGACTGTCAAGAATAGTACAAGCAAAACAGTAATATCAAAGGATACCAATATAGTCCCACATCTCCATCTAATAACACTTACAACCATTGAGCCACCCAGGAACAGTCCACAGTTGCAATATCAACCAATCTGGACTCAAAAGGAAATGGGGACATGTATATAAAAAGGTAAAAAAACTAATGTACTACATGGAGGGCCATCTGGGGGCACTATGCAGAAGAAACAGGCCGGCCTACAACTTCCACTGGACAATCCCACGAGTATGACCCTTTTCCAGGATTCATATAGGAGCAAAGGACTAACCCAGGGGTATGAACCCAAAGTATTCCCATCAGTATGACAGATTCCGTACTGTTATGTAACACATATGATAAACAATTGATGAAACCAAAGTCGGGATAGAGGACCTGGCATTATTATAGAGAGCAATTTGGAAAGAAAGTCTCAAAAGAGCAACAGCAGGAAAAGAAAAAAAAAGAGAAGTGGAATAGGAGAGCCAGTAAGTGTCCGTTCAGGGATCCATTAGTCCAGTGTCATCTCGTCAAGGAGATTACCTTTAGGTATGCAATACCTGTAGATAGGACAACCAGGGGTTCCGTATTTTTTCAAATTGTGATTGTTTATCCCATAGGACACTCTCCATATTTTCATGAAGCATAATCCCAGTCAGCTTATGCATCAGCAAAGCGAGATCCACCACTGGACTTTTCCATGCAGTGGCTATCATGATTTTGGCCTCCAAAAAGATAAGATAGAACAAAGTTTGTGTGTGTCTAGGGATATTTTCAACTAGTTTGTTCAACAATGCTATCCAAGCATCTTTACAGAAGCACTTTTAGGAGGAAGAAGTGCGGTACATTTTTGCTAGTCGCTTGAGTACTAGGTACCATCAACAGTATACTTTGTACTCTGCTTCCACCAAGGCTATAATGAAAATGCCCTTGTATATATGGGCCTTCTAAGCCCACCAATCCTTTGGCTCAGGGGCTATGCTCAGGTCCCTTTCCCACGCAATCTGGTAAGGAAGTTTTCACGAGGGAGTGACAAATGCTCTGTACAACATCAAAATGCATCCACGCTGGAGAGTCTCTTGTATACATCTATTTTCAAATTTGAGCGCTCAGTTAGAGCTCATTTTCTGTAGCAAACGTGGATAGTTCTGGATTTGCTGCAAGTAGAAGCTCTGAGATGGAGGTATCTCTAGATTCTGCACAAAATATTGTGGGGAAAATAATTATTTGATCCCCTGCAAATTTTGTAAGTTTGCCCATGTACAAAGAAATGAAGGGTCTATTTTATTATAGGTGTGTATTTTAAATGGTAGAGACAGAATATCAACCAAAAATCCAGAAAAAAAAAACATGATACAAATGTTATAAATTGATTTGCAGTTCAATAAGTATAAAATAAGTATTTGATCCCCAAGCAAAACATGACTTAGTACTTGGTGGAGAAATCTTTGTTGGCAAGCACAGAGGTAAGATGTTTCTTGTAGTTGGTTAGCAGGTTTGCACACATCTCAGGATGTATTTGGTCATCTCTAAAGGTTTCTTGGCTGTCGCTTGGCAACTCAAAGTTTAAGCTCCCTCCATAAATTTTCTGTAGGATTAAGGTCAGGAGACTGGCTAGGCCACTCCATGACCTTAATGTGCTTCTTCTTGAGCCACTCCTTTGTTGCCTTAGTTGCATGTTTTGGGTCATTGTCATGTTGGAAGACCCATTGATGACCCATCTTCAGTGTTCTGGCTGAGGGAAGAAGGTTCTCATCCAAGATTTTACAATACATGGCCACGTCCATTGTTCCCTCAATGCGGCAAAGTCAGCATGTACCTTTAGCAGAGAGAAACAGCACCAAAAGCATAATGTTTCCACCTCCAAGCTTGACTGTAGGGATAGTGTTCTTAGGGTAATAGTCAGTATTTTTCTTTCTTTAAACATGGCGAGCTGAGTTAATGACAAAGAGCTACATTTCGGTCTCATCTGCTCACAGCACTATCTCCCAATCCTCCTGTGAATCAATTAGATGTTCATAGGCAAACTTTCAGATAGGCCTGTACATGTGCCTTTTTGAGGACAGGGACCTTGTGGGCACTGCAGGATTTCTATCCATGTTGGCGTATTGTGTTACCAATGGTTTATTTGGTGACTGTGGTCCCAACTGCCTTAAGATCATTCACAAGCTCCTCCCATGTAGTTCTGGGCTGATCACTCACTTTTCTCATAATCATCCTTACCCCATGAGGCGAAATCTTGCATGGGACTCCAAACCAAAGGTGATTGATAGTTATTTTGTATTTCTTCCTTTTGCGAATAATAGCTCCAACAGTTTTTTTCCTTCTCACAAAGCTTCTTGCTGATGGTCTTGTAGCCCATTCCAGCCTTTTGCAGTTCTACAATCTTGTCCCTGATATCCTTTGACAGCTCTTTGGTCTTGTCCATGGTGGTGCCCAAGAAAAAGATTCTGTGGACAGGTGTCTTTTTGTACGCATAATGAACTATTTAGGAGCACCTTCTTAAATTGACAGGACTAATCTGTGTACCACATGAGCACATAGCCAGTCTGTGGGAGCCAGATTTATTGTTGCTTGGTAGAGGATCAATTACTTATTTTGCTCACTGAACTGCAACTCAATTAGTAACATTTGTATCATGTGTTTTTTCTGGATTTTTGGTTGATATTCTGTCTCTATTATTTAAAATACACCTATGATAAAAAAAATTATAGACTCTTCATTTCTTTGTACGTGGGTGAACTTACAAAATCTGCAGGGGATCAAATAATTATTTTCCCCACTGTATGTGGGGGGACGTATACCCTTCCGGTTGAGGAAATGTCCTATATGATAAAGGCCTTTATTCTGCCACTAGCCAAATTAAAGGGACTGTAGATCTTGTGGAAATCTATATGGAGTGGGGGAAATACTCAATCAGGCCTGTAATGGCTAAAATGCATCTGACGCAATTGTGTTTGTTGCGCTGCTACATAGTATTTTTTAAAGTCTGGGACCCCCCAACCCCCCCAACCTTTGGGAGCATATATGGTAGCTTGGACCAGCCTACTGCCCTTAGATCTCAAAATATAGTTAAATATTTTTGCTTGAAACTGCCGAATTGCCGCTAATGGCACTGGTAAAGTTTTGAAGTAATATAACAGTTTAAGCAATACTGTCATCTTGACAGACGCAATTCTTCCCATCCATGAGAGAGTCGTGTCAGAGCACGTCCTCACATCCTTCAGAGAACTGGAAAAAAAGGCGCTGTGGAAAATGCTCTCAGACAAGCACCTTAGTGGAGGTGCATCTTTATTGGGTGAGATAAAGTAGCAAGTATAATAAAATTAACCAGCCTGAAGTGGACAGTGTGATTCCAATGGACGGCCCGTCCGCTCTGAGGGGAGCTGAGATCAAAGAATGCTCCTGTCGGCTTCAAATCACGTGGTGTCAGCGTACCAGCGTCCTGGGTGGTGTCACCATGGCAAACGAAGGCAGTGTCCAGCGTTGGCTTCAGTTGGGAGCATATGTGGGGTTACCAAGACGACATGTTTCGCGCAGTTGCGCTTTGTCAAGTCTCCTTGACTTGACAAAGCGCAAAGGAGACTTGACAAAGCGCAACTGCGCGAAACATGTCGTCTTGGTAACCCCACATATGCTCCCAACCCAACTGAAGCCAACGCCGGACACTGCCTTCGTTTGCCATGGTGACACCACCCAGGACGCTGGTACGCTGACACCCACGTGATTTGAAGCCGACAGGAGCATTCTTTGATCTCAGCTCCCCTCAGAGCGGACGGGCCGTCCATTGGAATCACACTGTCCACTTCAGGCTGGTTAATTTTATTATACTTGCTACTTTATCTCACCCAATAAAGATGCACCTCCACTAAGGTGCTTGTCTGAGAGCATTTTCCACAGCGCCTTTTTTTCCAGTTCTCTTCATCATGCATATGATTAACAAGGCAGCAGTGGTGAGCTCATGATCAACTGTTCACATGTTTCCACCTGGAGTGGCCTCTCTGCGCTCATTTGTATGAGAGTTTTCCTCACACATCCTTCAACAGTTTATTGAACAAGGTTGGGTTGTTGGTCTTATAAAGGGATGAAATGTGGGGAGTCAACTTGACCCCAAGAAAGGATAATGACCCATGTTGCCAAGAGAATGAATACTGTGTGATTGTAGACTCTGGATTGTTGTAGCTGGCAGATTAATATTAAGGGCTTCCGTCTTATCCCAGTTAACTAATAAACCAGAAATGTTGCCAAAGAGGCCTAGAAGCGAAAGCTAGTTTGGTGGGGTCATATGAGGGGATGTAATGAACAACAATAACTCATAAAGCGCACACATTTATGAGTTTTGCCCCCACTCGCTATGCCCAATATATCGGCCTCCTGGCAGAATGCTTTTGCGAGAATCTCTATAGCTATTATAAAAAGGAGGGGGGAATGTGGGCAACCTTGTCTGGTTCCTGAGGAAATAGTACTTGGGTCTGTATGAGGTGCATGAGGGTGTTTAAATCTATTGCCCGTTGCACTTAATCTGCCACTTGCCTATAAGGCAGAAACTCCAAATGATCTGTATGTATGTCAAAAGACAAAACGACCAACAGTCAATTCACTAGTATTTGAGTGAAAAACTTCAAGTCATTATAAATTACCTAAATTGATCTATAATATACTACATCGTTTGGGTCTTTGTGGGGCTTGGAGATAAGCATGATGAACGCCCTATTGGAGTCAGTAACTATTGGTCCTCCCTTCTGGATAGCATTAAAATAGTGCACTAAAAGGGGAGCCAGGAGAGCCACAATGTTTTGTAATAAAGGGCCGTGAAGCCATCGTGGCGCTGTATACCTACTGAGGCATGCTTGTTCGCCAGTGGAACTTCATCTGCTGAAACATAATTTTCCATAAGCTGTCGATGTTCCTCCAGTAAGGCTGGGATTGGGAAATGGGCAGAAAATTGATCAAAGTCACATTGATCAGAGGCAGTTATGCCCAAGTACAACTTTTGAGCCATCAGATTTCCTGATTTTAAGGACATGTGGGGCTGGGCATCTAGAGGTCAATTTAGACGCTAGAAGCTTGTTTTAGGGATATTGCTATAGGTGATGGTATTAAAGAAATTCTGTCAAGGGAGGAGGGAAGATTGTTATAAGTATGACATGCAGACACCTACATTCTAACTGCAACTTACCAAGCTCTTCTGTTATAGCCAAATTACAGGTATCTTTCTGACATTTCTGAGTAGTGTCAGAGTATACTGATAAGAACCACCCCTATACATTTTACCATCACTATAATGGACAGTCTTAGTGACTAACAGTAATCTGCACGAAATAGAAAGTGGTAGGCATGTGTCAGCAGACTGTGCTGAAGCCTTGCCTGTCTGAATGGCCTGAGTTTCAGCTGTGACATAGAGGTTTGAGAGGTGGCTGCAGATATGTATACTTTTACGTGTCTGTATTTCATATCTGCAGCATTCTTTTCCCCCAACAGATCCTCTTTAATGTGACTGTAGTACAAAGTCTTAAGAGTAAGACTTGACAGAGCAAAAAATACCTAGGAACTGTAGCAGAGAATGGTCACCAACGGAGGTCCCAATATTCATGGAGAACTAGGCCTTTCCGTGTATGCCAGTAACTAGAATACCAATTTTAGGTACACAAGGAAATCTGTGCTATGGAAAGATGCTATGTTACCTGCTCCCATATAACTTTGGACAACTCCCTCTTGTTCTGCAGGATGGCCCATATGAACAAAACCTGGACTGGATGTTTAATTATTAGTGTGAGATCCTGATTAAAGAAAAAATACGTAAAATTATTGATCTAATACAATACTGTCATACATCATTTTATGGCAAAAATGCCTGTGAGTTATTAAGTTATGCCTTTTTTTCTATTTAAACATCATTGATTGGTAGTAGCTGTTCACAGACAATGACCAGGGTGGGAATTTGTAAACAATCAGCAAACATGAATAAAAGCACCCAAATTATGACAGCAATGAATGGCACACAGAGCCAATTTTCTCTTACCAGATTTTGAAATGTAGATCAACGTAAAGCACTGACTAAAATTAAGGTAAGCAAAATGTTCATATTTTTAGCTTTATAACTTATCTATCACTTTTTTATAATTGTATTTTGTTATATTTACATAACCAAAATGCTGCAATTGTAAATATACAGCTACATTTTTATGTAATAAATTTGGGCACATAACACTTAAGTAATCCACAGTGACAAATGGATTTCCATTTCTGGTAATAAAGCAAATCTGTTTTTCATACTGATTATACAATTATTATACAAAAAAAACATAAGGCAGAGTTTTGTGGCCAAACTGTGAGACACTGTGATTAGAGATGAGTCAGTCATTAGTGATTCCAATGTAAGTATATTTACAAGAGGCCCAATGTGCACCATGTTACACCTTAAATATGGGGTGTACCATGTAACATACATTTGCAAAAGGTAACTTTAGGCTTTAACACTATATCTGAAAAATCTAATTTCTGATTGCTTACTATGGATTTGTCCAACCATTTTTCTTTGCAGATCATTTAAAAGAGAATGCATGCATGCATTTATCAGTTAGATGTGTTCTTACGTGGATATCTGAGTCATCACAGCTGTTCCTCTCCTCTTTGCGGTTTCTTTGATAGTTCAATACCATTTTCCAGACAAAGGTGAGTAAGGAGTCATTGTAAGAGTTTTTGGCAATTTGTAAATTACGAAATACTAGGGTACTAAAATTCTGAGAGAAAAAAGTTCACTAAGGATTTCATTGCTCAGAAACGTGTGTAGATTTAGACCATTCTCCAGCAAAAGACGCACAAACTTTGGTCGGTCCTTCACTAGTGCAGCAAACATGGCATCTTCTAGGTCAGCTGACTAATAAAAACAAAAGAACAGCACAGCTGAGTACAATTATACAGTCAGGAGACTAAATCTGTAGGTATGAGGTCATTTGAACAATGAGGTCCAAAGCAGAAGTTTCTACAATAAAGGCAAATGTTTTGTAGTTTTTGGTAATGTTTATGGCTTTAAGTGAGTTGGGCAACCTAATAAGGGTGACGTATTTTTTGACGGTATGTATACCATAGGTCTAGCCCAGTTATAACTTGAGACTGAACACAAAAAATAGTTTCTAAACTGAAATTAAAAGCATCAGCCCAAATCTGTGACCACATAAAGCTCAGAGTATATACTATCATCTCCGTAGTCTTCTTCATTCACTAGTTAAGGTGCAATGCCCATTGCATTTAGCAACTGTCATCAGTGACAAAGGAGAATCTAAAATAATGAGGCTGATATAGAAGCTGAATCATCCCACTTTGCTTTTATGACATGCCAGCCTGCAAGCAATCAAGGCCTGTTGTTGCACATAACTACTGAGCAACACTATTATTCATATTTAAATGGTCCAATTAAAGAATATTTCTAATCAGAAAATACCACAAACATATGTTGCTCACAATGACAGCATGTGGCATACCTCCCATCGCCGATCATTTGTGAAGATTTCTTCACTAGCAAGATCCAACTGGTTCCACTCTAGCAACAATTTCAGCTGTGCATTCCAATTGTCCTTATCCTGCTCATTAGTGCTGAAAGCTGTAATCAAAAGCAATGACTTTATAAAAAAAATGATCCTAAAATCCTTGGTGAGTAAATGTACAGTTGCCTTTGTGAATGAAACAAAAGGGTAAACAGTTTGAGCCATTGTTGCATCAACATTCTTTTTGATATACAGTGGATATAAAAAGTCTACACAACCCTGTTAAAATGTCAGGTTTCTGTGATGTAAAAAAATGAGACAAAGATAAATAATTTCAGAACTTTTTCCACCTTTAACAGCTTCCCGTCCGCCCTATAGCAGAAGTACTGCTACAGGGCAGCATGGGTGTGCAAATTCACGCGTATATATACTTGATTTTGCATTTCCGGGTAGGGGGCGCACGTCCTACCCATGCCACCATTCACAGCCGTGGCTGTCAATCACCAGGTCCCGGCCAGTGATTACTTGCCGGCGCCCAGTGATTGACGAGCATCTCCTACAGAGGCACAGATCAAATGCCGCGTGTGTGTGGAAGATCGGTTGATTAGTGCAGAGCAGAATCTTCTCATCTCACATACCTAATCCCCCACAACTTGTGATTGCTGGCCATACACGTGTCTCCAGCTGGGTACCACAGGTGAACATTCCCTACACCCACCTCTGCACTAATCAACCGATCTTCCACACACACGCGGCATTTGATCTGTGCCTCTGGTACGGCAGTGTGTGAACTAAGCTGATGCATCTCTGCAAGCTAATTGATTTCCAGGACATCTCACCATTAACCACCACCACCAGAGGGAGGGAGCTCTGTATCCAGTACATGCACCCATTCAGCCTTAAGGGGATCTCTGGGCCTGGAAGCCTTCACCGTATACCACTGAGACAGAATACCAGATTACTTACCTCTAGATGGATGCTCACCTTCTCCACCTTCCTAAGAGATCCGAGTGGATATTGATTACATGTGCTTGATTATAGCGCGTCTGGTGAGTGCACATTTTTATCACTTGTTCCTGACACAGCTTCTCCTGATATACGGCTACATCTAGTAGACACCTGTTATTTATTTGATGAACTGCTTAATTATGCATGCTTAACATGTATGGGACATTTTATTATTTCATATATTATCACTATCATTTTTTATTCATCAATTTTATTTAGCGCTGCACTTTTTAAGAAGAACACCATACCCACAGTGAAGCATGGTGGTGACCGCATCATGCTTTGGGGCTGTTTTTCTTCAGCTGGAACTGGGGCCTTAGTCAAGGTAGAGGGAATTATGAACAGTTCCAAATACCAGTCAATATTGGCACAAAACATTCAGGCTTCTGCTAGGGAGCTGAACGTGAAGAGGAACTTCATCTTTCAGCATGACAATGACCCAAAGCATACATCCAAATCAACAAAGGAATGGCTTCACCAGAAGAAGATTAAAGTTTTGGAATGGCCCAGCCAGAGCCCAGACCTGAATCCAATTGAAAATCTGTGGGGTGATCTGAAGAGGGCTGTGCACAGGAGATGCCCTCGCAATCTGACAGATTTGGAGTGTTTTTGCAAGGAAGAGCGGGCACATATTGTCAAGTCAAGATGTGCCATGCTGATAGACTGATACCCAAAAAGAGTGAGTGCTGCAATAAAATCAAAAGGTGCTTCAACAATGTATTAGTTTAAGGGTGTGCACACTTATGCAACCATATTATTTTATTTTTTTTATTTTTACTTCACTCCACCTAAAAGATTTCAGTTTGTTGTTCAGTTGAGTTGTACAGTTTATAATAATACACATCAAAGGTGAAAAAACTTCTGAAATTATTTATCTTTGTCTCATTTTTTTACATCATAGAAACCTGACATTTTAATAGGGGTGTGTAGACTTTTTATATCCACTGTAGATGGTAACCCAGCAGGCCTTCAAGCTGGCAATAGACTGACTGAAATTCATCCAGTTCAGGGACTGGATGGCTTTCAATCCATCTATGGGCAAACTGGTTGTACAGAAATCGATCTCTTGATTGACTTCTATACAACCAGCCTGCTGGAAATGTTTTATTCAATCAGTGACACCGGCTACAGCCAGTGGTACTGCTAAGTGTGTTCTGACAGCAGAGAAGCCTCCCCAATGCTAGAATACAATAGCTCCATGGGTAGGATTCCCCCATCCACCTCAAACGTGTGGATGGGGGAATTGATTCATTTTCTTTCGTTCAACCCGCTGGTGGAATTAAAGAAAATGAATCATGTATGGCCTGCCTTAGTCTCTTGGCTAATGCAGCTCCACAAATTTGTAAACTACTACATGCATTACAATTTCTAATTCATTGACACATAGGAAAACATCTTTATAACCAGCAGCATTATGTGTTAATCATAAGTTTTTACAGCCAACAAATGTTAATCTTTGCGTGGATTATTGTATATATGAAAAAGTGTTTTTAAATCTGCATATCTACAAAGGTCAATTTCTTCACTGAAACAGTTAGGCCTCATTCACATGGGTGTAGTTATGTGCACATCAATGTGGGGGGCCGTGTTTTGGACTGTATGAGATGTACAGGTATTCTGTGCACCTGTGTGCAGGCAGTCTCACAGTCTCTGCTCCCAATTTGACACCTATGTGGGTGTGTGTCCCTGAATGTAGACAGTGTGAGTTCAGGAACATGCACCTGCACCCTCACAGATCTCAAATAGGGAGACCGGCTGTGTCCGTTCAGCTGCTGCGTCACAATTGACATGAATGAGACTGTCTGCAGAAGGGATGCATGGAACACCTGTGTATCCTGTGCAGGCAAAATACGGCCCTCATATTGGTGAAAGCTTAAAGCGGAGTTCCACCCAAAAGGGGAAGTTCCGCTTTAAAGATTGGTCCCCCACTCCCCATTAAGGATTGGCATCTTTGGGGAGCTGGTACCCGAATTTGACAGGTATCCGCTCCCACTGCGATTGCATAGGCGATCGGAAACGCAAGTTATCATCCTACCCTCCCTCCCCAAAGTCTTGTGGGACACGTGACAGGTCCCAGAAGATGACGGGGCCATTCAGGAAGAGCAGCACTTCTCGCACATGCGCAGTGGGCACCCGACTGTGAAGCTGCAGACTGTCAAAGCCGGGTGCCCACACTGAAGACGGCGGAGCCTGGAATACAGGACGGCCTGTGAAACGGGCTGTGGCGGGGGGCACCGTGGGATCGTGGGACAGGTGAGTGGCTGTTTTTTAAAAGTCAGCAGCTACAGTTTTTGTAGCTGCAGACTTTTATTTTTTTACAGAGTGAGTGGAACTCCGCTTTAAGTGCGCTCATGTGAACAAGGCTGTATAAGAATTCCATGTATATTGAGCACACATTCCTATAGCAAATAGCAGCTATTTGAAGCACATCTGGAAGCCCTATAAATGGCCAAAAGGCATAAAATGACGGCTAATATTAAAGAATATCCTTGTATCTGAAATATCTTGTATCTGAGGGGCACTATTATACACAAACTTGCCCTTATCTCACAAGCATGCATGTGTATGTAACAATATAATTTGAGGCAGCCTTTCTAAACCAGGGTGCCCAGGAACCCTGGGGTGCCTTAAGGTTTCTTCAAGGGTTCCTTGGCAAAATGTCTAAAAATTGCCCAAAACTTGTAAAGCCACAGGTTTTCATTGTTCACCATTATGACCTTCTAGCCGCCGGAGTCCTGACAACCAATGACATCATCAGTTGATAAGGAGGATGGCTGTTGCCTGCACAACATCCTGGTTTGATCATCCCCTGCCTCTCTCCATCAGTACTGGGGTCACATTAGCTCAGTGATGGAGAAAAACTGAGGGAGAAGAGAAACACTGGAATACTAGTCAGTACCAGTGTGCAGAAGTGTATTTGCTTTGGAAGAATAAATCATCTCAAATGTTGGGTGTCCTACATACAGTATGTGGATGTTGCTGCATTATATAAAACTATTAGAATAGTTTTTTCCATTTTAGAATGTGGTGTCCTTTTAATAGTATAGACAGTCTTGGGGTACCCCATTTTAGAATGTGGTGCCTCAAGACTGTCCATAATTTTAAAGGGTGCCTCAAGACTGTCCATAATTTTAAAGGGTGCCTTGACTGAGAAAAAGGTTGAAAAACACTGATTTGATATACAGAAAGCAGAAGGAACAGCTTTTTGCTGCGGTGTATTACAGAGAACTTCCATTACTGTAAATTGAGCAAATTTCTAATTTGCAGCATTTGCCTAACTAGTATGTTAAACTCTGTAATTGTTTTTAACTGTTGTCCAAAATTAGCCATATAAATAGTTCCTTTCTAGTAAAACCATAGCAAAGAGCTTGTGGAACCTAAAACGGAGTCATAAACATTCCAGCATCATTAGTAGATTAGATATTCTACAGTCAGACCTAATTTTCTAATAGGAATGTGACATATTGAAGTCATCTTAAAGTACAACTAAAGCTTCCTGTATCAAGTCCAGTTACTATCTAATGCGCAAGACTCAAAGTAAATTTAAAAACTTTCTTTACCTTTCCTGACCGAGCCATACCCTACAGCTCACAGTGGGAAGATTTCATCAGCAGAGGCTGTGTTGTTGATCCAGAAAGCAGTGGGAAGGACGACAGGCTATAGACTGATAACCATGTAGTATGTGTTTCAATATCTTCAATATATATATATATATATATATATATATATATATATATATATATATATATATATATAACAAACCAAAACCCTTGCAACATTTTTTATTCACTGTAGTGTGAGCAGGCACAATACACATGAGATTGACACACTATCATAGGAAGTTGCATTAGGTACACTATATTGGCAGGAAAAATGTACTGTATTTGTGGGACTTTGCATGGGAACTAAGAGAAACCTGTAGGTACAGGTGCACTTATAACTAATTGTTACTAAACCCAGGAACCTGCATTCACTCTCTCTGGTCTCCCACAGTACACAGAACATGGAAATGCAATTGATTTAGTAAATATAAACTGCTAAATACCTTTACCCATCAGAAGTTGGAGCAGTCTTGTGACTTCTATCAGTGTTCAGCAGAGCACTGGTTAAAGCTTGTAGGATTCTGCTCTAGGAGGATGCAAAACCCCTGACCGTCTGTCTGCACATTGGTGATTGGCCCTGTGCTGATCACATGCACTCTCCCAAGAAAAAAAAAACCTCTCTAGCAATACACACCAAACTGAGCATGTAGTCTCCTATTTTAAGTAAAGTGGTAGCCCATAGAGTACCAATAGCATACTGTATGTCATGGTGTTGCCCACTTACCTTTGTACAGAGCATAAGAAATAGCATTGCTTACTATTTCATCGCCAGCCTGCTCAATCTTAATTACAGTCAGGAGATGGATGTGTTCCATTATTTCTTTAATCTGGAAAGGTAGAACATTAATCCATACCACATTTCTTTAATTTGGAATCACACAGTAATGGGTAAATTGCTTGACTGTTTACTTCTACTGCATTCAGAAAGTCATTTTCAGATTTCCACGTTAAATGTTGTTTGAATGGCATAATGCAAAGTATAATTATAAGCATATTAGTTTTCAGCAATTCAGTGTACAGTAGTAATCTAATAAAAAAAACGAATAAAAATACATTGCGGGGCAATTACTATGTGCAAAGTTGTTAATTGCACTGTATTTGCCTGGAAATGTTGGATATCAGTTAACCTGCCATTTAAAAAAATCTATTCTGCCTTCCTTCATGATTCCTCTGTTGACATTTTAAATTAATGGAAGCACAATTGTTCTGTCCTCCCTGGTACTCCTAAGGCGTATGGGCAATACATTTGAGAGGTTAACATGTTTAAGTGATGTACAAACTGAACAAGTGTCAGGCAATATTTTCATCTGACAAATGGATAGAGTACAGTGGTGGGGTATGTTTTTATCGGGGGTACATTTCATTGTCTGTAATAAAGTTACTTTTAGAGGGATGTAGTCCTGCCATTTTTGTAATACCTTTGGGTTTTTTCTTTTCATTTGGTATTTTTGTTGGTACGTGGCAGTCTCTGAAGCAATGTATATCTTTTTTCCTTTTAAACGTAATTGTTTCTAAAAAGGGATCTGTCAATGATATTAGCCATTGGGCTGAACTATGGGCATGGACTAATGGTCCATTGAGAAGCATAGTGGCTAGGAACATACCAGCAGTTGACTATTCTTTAACTGTGTGCAGCTCCAGTTCAATAAGCACTAATGATATACTTGATGATAAAAGCAGCCAACAACTAAATACATGCTAAAGAAATATATTCTTAGTAATGGCTATTTAGTTCTACACTAATAGCATGGGAATAATAAAAACAGATGATCATTGCAGGAATTGGGTAATGCTTTGAGTACTATACATAGTAAAATGGAATTTTGGACACTTATTAGGCACACAGAGTGTTGTGTCTGTCTTTTAAAAGCATCATGTACCATCTTAATAGAGGAAAGTATGTGTACTATAACAAGAACACAAGCAGCTTCTCTCTGAACATTAAAACCTTCATTACAAATTCATCCATTTATATAACAGTGATTATTAAAAGAAACTCCATGTACACAGATGTTTGTGAAAGCTGCATTACAGCTTTTTAGCCAGTTCAGGAGAAAAAAAAGACACAGCTGAGGATATTGGGAGATAATATTGGGAGATACATCTGACCTATCACATATTTCTCTAAAATGACCATTCCATCATGTTTTTCAAAAGCAATAGGAGAAGACAGATATTATAATGAACAGGTTAAACTCTGGTCAGATATCAGTGTTAATTAGTATTTCTAGTCTGAACTTCAGATTCTCCACCAATCTCTACTTGAAACAATACATATGATTCTGCTTTTAGGGAAATATCACCTTTCACCCAACTTCCCTTGATTGAAAACTTGAATGAGCCAGGTGGATAATTGTTGTCCAGACAGCAGGTGCATTAAATCAGATGCAGCCGCTGTATGGGTACAGAGAGACAGCTGAAGTGGGTGATTGGTCCATCCATGCTGTATAGCGTGAAAGTAGGAATTGGTTTGTTTTCTTCATTCAACCAGCAGGTTAACCAACAATAACCTATCAGTGTTTGGTCAGCTTTAGGGCCAGTTCACACTACATGCGTTTCAGTTGTTTTTCTGCATTCAAAATGCACAGAAAGTAGGCTATATGGTTGTAAATGTCATAGTTCACATCAGTGCTTGCAGTTCCAGTGCATTCCAGTTGCAGAAAAAAAGAGTACATTACAGAACTGTACTGGAAAGCAATAAAATGCATTAAAAACACACCGGAACACACATGACCCTACTTAAAACAAAACTACAAAGCAACTTATTCACTCCCTGGTTATCTCTCGCCTTGACTATTGTAACTCCCTCCTCATTGGCCTACATAATTGCAGGCTATCCCCTATTCAGTCTATCATGAATGCTGCTGCTAGACTCACCCACCTTACTAACCGTTCCATATCTACCACCCCTCTCTGCCAATCCCTCCCCCGGCTTCCCATTGCCCAACGAATAAAATTCAAGACATTAACAATAACATATAAAACCATTTTATAACTCTGCCCCAAATTACATCACCAATCTTGTCTACAAATATCACCCAAAAACTGTCCTCTCTCCGCTTCTCCCACGACCTCCCGCTCTCTAGATCCCTTGTCTCCTCCTCCCATGCTTGTCTCCAGGGCTTCTCCAGAGCCTCCCCCATCCTCTGGAACTCTCTACCCCAATTTATCAGACTATCGCCTACTCTGCCCACTTTTAGGCGATCTCTGAAACCCTATCTCTTCAGGGAAGCCTATCCTGCCTTCAGCTAATAACGGAATCTTCTATTCCTCCTACCAGTCCATCCCCTACAGTTATTACCTTTTGTGCCACCAGCCCCTCCCTCTTAGAGTGTAAGCTCCAAGGAGCAGGGCCCTCCTAACCCTCTTGTATTGAACTGTATTGTTGCTGTATTGTCTCTTTTTATAATGTAAAGTGCTTAGCAAACTGTTGGCGCTATATAAATCCTGCATAATAATTACATTGAAGAAAAAGAGAGGGGAAAAATGAACTGGAATGCATAAAAACGCACTAAAATGCATAAAAAACACACCGGAATGCGCCAAAAATGCATAAAAAAAGCACAGGCAAAAATGCATCTGGAACGCATCTGGACTGCGTTTCTATAGTGTGAACTGGCCCTTAGGTTAGATTCACACTGTTGCACTGGGAAAACATCACTTACTGTAACACATGACAAACACACATTCAGACATGCAACACATGTTAACGTGCAACATAACATGCATTACATGTATTAACACATCACACACATGTAAATGGATCCTTGAGCATGCTGTTTAATGTCTGAGACAAGATAATAATGTTTCCTTTTTTCTGGAATAAAGAAATACTCCTTTCTATATGAATGCATTGAAAATAGTTCCATGAGTCAGAGAAAAAAGTAAACAATCTAGTCTATAAGGTACAGAATACTTCAGGCTAGACTTCTCTAAACCTTTCTTATTTAAAATTACAATACATTACATACAGTTGAACAGACCTTTTGTAGGTCCATTGAGAAATGTTCAGAATCTGAGAGGTTGTATGGGTATCTTATGGAGTGGGTCATCTTGGAAAGTCTGGAACTGATTGTGTAACCATCATCTTTCAGAAAATATTTGAATGTTTGTGAATAAAATGTAGGTTTATTTTGGTAGTGTAAGGTAGTGAATGTGACATTCACCATATATTTAATTCAGGTGAACCTTGCTGGTGCATGAGTTTTAAATTACAGGGCATAATTAAATAAATGTGAATGTTTGCTGAATGTCACATTCACTGCTTTATAAATACGCCCCTTAGTTTTATGTATATTTCATTCGATGAATTAGTATTGGTACATTTTAAAACTGGATAGACTTTGACAAATTTGAGGAAGTACCCAATGAGCTATGGTCAAGGTCTACATATATTGCTTAACATACATTCTATACTTAAAGCGGAGTTCCACTCACGCTGTCAAAAATTAAAAGTCAGCAGCTACAAAAACTGTAGCTGCTAACTTTTAAAAAAAACACACACTCACCTGTCCGCGGTCCCACGGTGTGTCCCCTGCAGCCCGTTTTACCGGCCGTCTTCTCTCCCTGGGTGCCGGCATCTTCAGTGTGGGTACCCACTGAGCATGCGCAAGTAGCACTGTGCTTCCTGAATGGTCCTGTAGTCTTCTGGGACCTGTCATGTGTCCCAAAAGACTACGGGGGAGGGAGGAAGGGAGGACACCTTCCACTTCCGATCTCCTAGGCGATCGGAGTGGAAGTGGGAGTGGGTACCTGTCAAATTCGGGTACCCGCTCCCCCCCGCCCCCCAAAGGTGCCAATCCTTAATGGGGATCGGGGGACCAGTCTTTAAAGCGGAACTTCCCCTTTTGGGTGGAGTTCTGCTTTAGCAAATAATACGTAAATTGAACTGTAGACAGTTAATAGATGTATAATTAGCACATTATCTCTAATTAATTTGGAAGTAGAATAATATCCCAACCTCACAAAATATTACCTAGTGCAAAGAAATGACTTATCTGTTTTAGAAAATATAACATGGACATATGCCCTTGAAGCCCAGTGAGGCCCAGATACACCCTGGTCTTAGCATTTAAGGATCTTCATAAGGATCGACTTAAAGAACAACATTATTTCTACATTTTGGATTAAGCAAGGTTTGCTTTAAAAATATTTGAAAGTATGTACTGAAAAAACTGCATACCAAACCCTCATTGGAGCACAGAGCATCATTGAATCACAAAGCATCTGAACAGATACAACTTAAAATCAGATTTTTTATAATTACTAAAAATAAATTGTAGAATACTGTACCCATCGTATCCACAACTCTATCTCCTCTTCTGCCAATCGAGATACAGTGCGAGGCAAGAATCGGACTAGCCTCTCTTTAATGACAGATGATGCTAGAGAAGTGCCCTCAGTTTCCACTAAGCTGGCAATGACATCAGCAGTCTGCCCGGATCCCTCCACCACTACACATGGGATTTTACTCTTGATTGCTGTATTTATTGCCTGTTTGAAAGCAAGAAGGAATTAGGTGTAGAGACGAGCCAGCTCTCAGTGGAGTTCTATTAGCAAATATGTTAAAGTCCTTTGAGAATGAAAGATATATGAATCACAAAGACAGTGCCTGTGGTGCAGCATTAAAAAGCAACAAAGTGCATGGGGGGAGGGGGATTTACTAAAACTGGTGCACATCGAATCCGCTGCAGCCCTGCAGAGTAACCAGTCAGATTATAGGTTTTCTTTTCTTTTCCAATCATTTTTATTAAGGTTTTGAACAGTACAAATGCAAAACCGTATAAAGACAGTAAAGATAAGTATCTGTACATAGTGGCTTAAATAGC